GGTGTTCTTCCCCGAGGAGTTTTACTCTTATGTCAAGGCCATGTTGATGGGACTGAAGCGCTGAGGAAAAGTCCTCTGAGGCAAGTTGTGTCTGTCCGAGAGAAAAGTAACTGTGAGCTGTTTCTAGGTGTTCTTCCTCGAAGAGCTTCACTCTGATGTCAAGAGCACACTGATCAGAGTGGAGTGCTGACAAAAGGTCGCCTGAAACATGTTCGGCTACTCGGAGAGAGAAGTAACTGCGGGCTGTTTCTGGGTGTCCTTTCCCGAAGAGTTTTACTCTTATGTCAAGGGCACGTTGATGGGATTGAAGCGCTGAGGAAAAGTCGCCTATGACATGTTGAGTCTGTCCAAGACCATAGTAACTTTGTGCTGTGTCTTGGTGTTCTTCACCGAGGAGTTTTACTCTTATGTCAAGGGCACGTTGATGGCACTGAAGCGATGAGGAGAAGTCGCCTGTTACATGTTGAGTCTGTCCAAGACTATAGTAACTTTTTGCAGTGTCTTGGTGTTCTTCCCCGAGGAGTTTTACTCTTATGTCAAGGGCATGTTGAGGGAACTGACGCGCTGAGTAAAAGTTCCCTGAGGCAAGTTGTGTCTGTCCGAGAGAAAAGTAACTGTGAGCTGTTTCTAGGTGTTGTTCCCCGAAGAGCTTAACTGTGATGTCAAGAGCACACTGATCAGAGTGGAATGCTGATGAAAGGTCGCCTGAAGCATGTTGCGTTACTCCGAGAGAAAAGTAACTCTGAGCTGTGTCTCGGTGTTCTTCCCCGAGGAGTTTTACTTTTATGTCAAGGGCGTGTTGATGGAACTGACGCGCTGAGGATAAGTCCTCTGAGTCAAGCAGTGTCTCTCCGAGAGAAAAGTAACTGTGAGCTGTTTCTAGGTGTTCTTCCCCGAAGAGCTTAACTCTGATGTCAAGAGCACACTGATCACAGTGGAGCGCTGACAAAAGGTCGCCTGAAGCATGTTGGGCTACTCCGAGAGAAAAGTAACTGCGGGCTGTTTCTGGGTGTTCTTTTCCCAAGAGTTTTACTCTTATGTCAAGGGCATGTTGGTGGGACCAAAGTGCTGAGGAAAGGTCATTTGAGGCAATTTGCGTCTGTCTGAGAGAAAAGTAACTGTGAGCTGTTTCTATGTGTTTTTCCCCGAAGAGCTTAACTCTGATGTCAAGAGCACACTGATCAGAGTGGAGTGCTGACAAAAGGTCGCCGGAAGCATGTTGGGCTACTCCGAGAGAAAAGTAACTGCAGGCTGTTTCTGGGTGTTCTTTCCCGAAGAGTTTTACTCTTATGTCAAGGTCACGTTGATGGGATTGAAGCGCTGAAGAGAAGTCGCCTGTGACATGTTGAGTCTGTCCAAGACCATAGTAACTTTGTGCTGTGTCTTGGTGTTCTTCACCGGGGAGTTTTACTCTTATGTCAAGGGCACGTTGATGGCACTGAAGCGATGAGGAGAAGTCGCCTGTGACATGTTGAGTCTGTCCAAGACTATAGTAACTTTATGCTGTGTCTTGGTGTTCTTCCCCGAGGAGTTTTCCTCTTATGTCAAGGGCATGTTGACGGGACTGAAGTGCTGAGGAAATGTCATTTGAGGCAAGTTGTGTTTGTCCGAGAGAAAAGTAACTGTGAGCTGTTTCTAGGTGTTCTTCCCCGAAGAGCTTAACTCTGATGTGAAGAGCACACTGATCAGAGTGGAGTGCTGACGAAAGGTCGCCTGTTGCATGTTGGGTTACTCCGAGAGAAAAGTAACTGCGGGCTGTTTCTGGGTGTTTTTTCCCGAAGAGTTTTACTCTTATGTCAAGGGAACGTTGATGGGACAGAAGCGCTGAGGAAAAGTCGCCTGTGACATGTTGAGTCTATCCAAGACTATAGTAACTTTGTGCTGTGTCTTGGTGTTCTTCCCCGAGGAGTTTTACTCCTATGTTAAGTGCATGTTGATGGGACTGAAGCGCTGAGGAAAGGTCCTCTGAGGCAAGTTGTGTCTGTCCGAGAGAAAAGTAACTGTGAGCTGT